ATGAGAAAATTCTAGGGGAAAAATAGCAACAGCCAACTAGAAGCCTTAGAGGTTCTCTATAGAAAAACTGAAGCAAAAGGAGAGAGGAAAAAGGCACCTAAAGGTGAGGTAGCTGGGGCTGGCACAGTGGCCTAACAGGCTAATCCTCCACCTGAGGACTGGTATCCCATAGGGGCACAGGTTCAAGATCTAGCCTCTCCATGCCTGACCAGCCTCCCACTAATGATCTGGGAAAGCAGTGGAGGATGGCTCAAGTCCTTGGGCCCCTCCCACGCGGGAGACCCAGAAAGAAGGTCTAGGCTCCTGGCATTGGATTGGCTCAGCACAGACCATTGTGACCAGATGGAGATCAATCTCTCTCTCTCTCTCTGTAAATCTGCCTTTCAACAACAACAACTATATATATATTATACACATACATATTATACGTATATATAAATGATGTAGGATAAACAAGAGGAAAATGTCAGAAACAATATCTAAGACTAATATAAAGTTAGGCTTTTCTTTTGTGTTAAGAAAAGTTTGCCTTGTCAGGCCAGCACAATGCCTCAACTAGCTAATCTTCTATCTGCAAGTGCTACAATCCCATATGAGCACTGGTCCGTGTCCCACTGCTTCACTTCCCACCCAGCTCCCTGCCTGTGGCCTGGGAAAGCAGTCGAGGACAGCCCAAAGCCTTGGAACCCTCTACCCACTTGGGAGACCTGGAAGAAGCTCCTAGCTCCTGGCTTTGGATCAGCTCAGCTCTGGGCATTGCAGCAACCTGGGGAGTGAACCAGTGGATGGAATATCTTTCTCTCTGTCTCTCCTCTCTGTCAATCTACCTTTCAATAAAAATAAATTAATATTTCCTAAAAAATAAAATTTTAGCTTCTAAAGGTACCATTATTTTTAATGTTCACTAACACAGACTCAGAGTAAGTCGACAAATACCAAAAAATAAAATATAGTGGGGGTATCAAACAAACTATTATTCTAACATAAAGAATTCAATTCCAATAACAATAACGTGCAATTTTGAGATCTGTATCTGTAGCTTTCATTTCCAAACATCTCTGGTTCTTCAATCATTTTGCACTCATCTTATTTGGAAATAAATCTCCCCTCCCCTCCTCTCCCCTCCCCTCCTCTCCCCTCCCCTCCTCTCCCCTCCCCTCCTCTCTCCTTCTCTCCTCTCCCCTCCTCTCCTCTCCCCTCCCCTCCTCTCCTCTCCTCTCCCCTCCCCTCCTCTCCCCTCCCCTCCTCTCCCCTCCCCTCCTCTCCTCTCCCCTCCTCTCCTCTCCCCTCTCCTCCTCTCCTCTCCTCTCCCCTCCTCTCCCCTCCTCTCCTCTCCCCTCCCCTCCTCTCCCCTCCTCTCCTCGCCTCTCCCCTCCTCTCCTCTCCTCGTCTCTCCCCTCTCCTCCTCTCCTCTCCTCTCCCCTCCTCTCCCCTCCTCTCCTCTCCCCTCCCCTCCTCTCCCCTCCTCTCCTCGCCTCTCCCCTCCTCTCCTCTCCTCGTCTCTCCCCTCCTCTCCCCTCCTCACCTCTCCCCTCCTCTCCCCTCCTCTCCTCTCCTTGCCTCTCCCCTCCTCTCCTCTCCCCTCCTCTCCCCTCCTCTCCTCTCCCCTCCTCTCCTCTCCCCTCCCCTCCTCTCCCCTCCCTCTCCCCTCCTCTCCTCTCCCCTCCCCTCCTCTCCTCTCCCCTCCTCTCCTCTCCCCTCCTCTCCTCTCCCCTCCCCTCCTCTCCTCGCCTCTCCCCTCCTCTCCTCTCCCCTCCTCTCCTCTCTCCTCCCCTCCTCTCCCCTCCCCTCCTCTCCGCTCCCCTCCTCTCCCCTCCTCTCCCCTCCCCTCCTCTCCTCTCCTCGCCCCTCCCCTCCTCTCCCCTCCTCTCCTCTCCCCTCCTCTCCCCTCCTTTCCTCTCCCCTCCTCTCCTCTCCCCTCCTCTCCTCTTCTCGCCTCTCCTCTCCCCTCCTCTCCCCTCCCCTCCTCTCCCCTCCTCTCCTCTCCCCTCCTTTCCTCTCCCCTCCTCTCCTCTCCCCTCCTCTCCTCTTCTCGCCTCTCCTCTCCCCTCCTCTCCCCTCCCCTCCTCTCCCCTCCTCTCCCCTCCTCTCCCCTCCCCTCCTCTCCTCTCCTCGCCTCTCCCCCTCCTCTCCCCTCCTCTCCTCTCCCCTCCCCTCCTCTCCTCGCCTCTCCCCTCCCCTCCTCTCCTCTCCTTTCCTCTTCTCTTCTGTTTCCCCTCCTCCCTGCCTCCTACCCTCCTGATGATCATCATCATTCTTTATATGTACAATAAAATCACAATTTCCTAATTACTTCCTCCTAATTTGTGGAAAATAATTTCCACCTACTTATGACTAAACTCCCGTAATATAGAATCCTGTATTAATGGGAATCCTGTATTCATAGGGAATGTTCTTTTGCTTTCAAAACTAATGAAATAAGATGGCAGCTAAGAGCAACTGAAAACCAGTTTTAAAAGCAATAAGTGTGTGTGCTCACTTTGGCAGCACATATACTAAAATTGGAAAGTGACAGAGAAGACTAGCACAGCCCCTGTGCAAGTATGACATGCAATTTGTGAAGAGTTCCATATTAAAAAAACAATAACTGTGTATATGAGCTATAATTCCATTTCTTCCTCCCAGAAACCTCATCCTTTACATTTCAGGTTTAAAGTAACCAATGTGCACGTTGATTGTCCTGAAAACAGCATTCTCTAAACCTGCTGTTCTCTAATCATTCACATCAATTCATAGGTCAATTCCTTTGTTATTATAAATAATGATTAAAATGTGTCTGATGTCTGTATTTTTTCATTTATACAGTATCGTAACATTCTCTATTTATATTCATTATTTACATAATGTATATGAGCACAGAATCACATGTAAGTGCACATGTTTAGGTTTTAGACTATTCATGTTATCCTTTTGTCTTTAAAGTAAATATACTCTGTATTTGTCTCCCATGCTTTCCATGTTAATAAGCATTATAGACTCAGGAATTTTATTATTTTGTGCACCAGTGATGAGAATAATAAAATATGAAAGTCAATAAGCAAAATCCAGAAAAACCAAAGGAGGCCAGATCTGTATTATAAGACCCCAGAAAAATCCAGCATTTCAAATAAGAACCAATAAAAATAAAGAACAAAAAACTGACAGAGATGTTCTAAGATTACTGAAAGGAGACAAACTGAAGACCAGTTTTGGGGTCAGTGCCTGGCTCATTTAGCTGTCCTCCGCCTCCAAGCACTGACATCCCATATGGGCAACGGTTCGTGTCCCGACTCCTCCACTTCTCCTACATGTTTGTCTAGTGGCCCGGGAAAGCAGTGGAGGACGGCCCAAAGCCTTGGGACCCTGCACCCACATGGGAGACACAAAGGAAGCTCCTGGCCTCAGTTCGGCTCAGTCCAACCACTGTGGCCATTTGGAGAGTGATGCAGTGGCTTGAAGATCTTTCTTCCTCTGCTTCTCTCTGTAAATCTGCTTTCCCAATATAAATAAATAAATCTTTAAATGAAAAAAAGAAGACTAAAGATCATTTTCAAACAAACACTGTATATAAACACTACACTTCTATTTTTGCCTTAAACATAATACCAATATATCATTCTCTCTAAAGAAAGAATATGATTATAGCTTCAAGACAGAAAAGATAAACAATTAAACCTGGAGGCACTTAGAGAGGGTGTCACAAATGATTAAAACATTCACTTAAAACTTACATCCCTTTAATTAAAGAACACTTAGAAATTTCTATCTGCCAGACTCATAAGATAACAAAATTTATTAAGAACACTCACATTGAATGTAGTTGGCATTCCTACTACTTAGTAATACAACAATCCGGGCTTAAGACAGGCAAACTTAATACAAAGCTTAGGGGCTGGTGCTGTAGCACAGCCCGTTAAGTCACTGTCTGCAACACTGGCATGCCATCTGGGCACCAGTTCAAGTCCCTGCTGATTCCACTTCTAGTCCAGTTCCCTGCTAGTCTTCCTAGGACTCAGCAAAAAATGACCCACAGCCTTAGAACCCTGTATCAATGTGGTAGATTTGGATGGAGATCCAGGCCCCTGGTTTGTGGCCCTGGTTTGTGGCTCTCTGGGTAGGGAACCAGAGGATGGAAGAAACATTCTCTTCCTTGCTCCCCACCCCTTGTCTCTCTCCATCAGTAACTCTATCTCTCAGATAAATATAGTAGCATTTTTGCACTTTTGAACACAATACTAGAGGCACAATATCTCTAGTTATTACTTAGGTTTAGTAAAAACTACTGGTACTATTGCTGTACTGCATACACACGTGGATCCAACACTTCTTGGATTATACAAATACTGAGTCAAAGTTATCTCTATCAACAGAATTAACAGGTCCTAAATAAGCTCTCAACAGTTAAATATAATTAGGAAAAAAAAGTACTATGGGGAGGCAATTAAATGGGTACCTAGAGCTACAATTACAAAATTTGTCATTTTAGACTTAAGAGACTTAAGTAAATTAAAACCCTTCTCTGTAGTATAAAATTAACCTTTGATGATAAAATTGTTTCCAAAGAAACTTCTTTTATTTTTTAAAATACTTCATGTTTTTTTTTAAAGTAGCCAGAAGAGGTCAGTCTTTCCTCAAGAAATGTTTAATATCCTGCTGTAGCTTGGAATCTAAAAAATCATTTTTCCAATATACAATTAGTTATCCTTTATAAACAAAATTTGTTGTACTGTAAGTTGAATTCACTTAAGTCATTAAATTCAAGGAGTGAGGTCTACACAAAAAAATACTGATTACACACCCACAATTTAAAATGAGCTTTATGCATAATTTCAAGAAATCCTCAAAATAGCACATATACAAAACCTTTACCAATTCTATTTATGAACAGGCAGAGCATTAGAAAGTTGACTGCTTATCTAAACAGTTCAAAAGGAGAAAGAAATGTATGTGATTTGCTTGAACAAATTCCAGGTCAATACAGAATTTGCATCAATCTGTTAGACTGAATCCCACGTGCTTACCTTGCCAACTGTCATTGCAGACACACAGTTTTTCCCCCGTTAGGTCACAGTAACCATGATCTGGACTGCCGCAGTTGGCTTTGCAGTAAGGAATATCACAAGCTTCACCCTTCCAGTATTTGTCACATTCACAATATACTTGACTTGAAACAGAGATACTAGTTGTACACTTCCCATGACCAGAGCAGTTGTTAGGACATGAATTGATTCTGTAAAATATAATTCACATATACTCAAACTCAAGATCCACTAAAAAAAAGAATTTTGGTTGATATTGATATTTTATAAGCTTCACAACTTCCCTGCTGCACCTTATTTGATGATTAACAAATCTCACAATGTGGTTTCAATTCTTCACTTTGTCCCTTTTATATTGTGGAATTCAGCTGGTACTCAGTTGCATGTGGCCTTAATTCAGCCAGTGAGTTTACCAGCAAGACTCCAAACATCCAGGGACTACACACTAAATAGCTCCAAGACCTATAGGGCTGCAAGCACAACATTTTGTAAGGACTTAGCAACTCAAATGCTTTAAATGTGTATTTCACAGAAAACAAATAAATTCATAAACAGCTGAAACTATACAAGAATCCAAGACACAATGTGGCTGAATATTATAAAAGTATTTTTTCACCTATACCTTACTAATTAAGGGGAACATTTATCACATTATATTTTAAGATCCTTTACCTTGATTATATTCTACTACCAAAAGAAGTCTTCAAAAAGTCCATGAAAACAAGCTATGCACAGACTTAATTTTTTTGCATTAAAATAATTTATCCCCTAACTCCATTTTTCCACATTCTGTAGGACCCTCATATGTATCTAATCTCTCTTTTGCAAATAATCAGGCACATTGTAAGGTAAAGAAACCCTGTATTAAGCTGCTGGTTGAAGGGTAATTACAAATCTTCCAGTTAAAAAATCTCTAATTGTCAATTTCTACATTCATGAAAAAGAAAATAATTAGTGTACAGAGTGTCTCTGTGGCCATTCACACAAAAGCATCTGGAAGCTTCACTTCACCCTGAGCCTCTAGATTCAGAAAGTATGTGCACTACGCAACTGCCTAGGTCGCACTGTACCTAGACAAGTGTTTTACTACACAACTGGGAGAAAAGCAGCCAAAATCTGGTGGACATGCTGGACATGGTTAAGGCCAAATTTGTGTCAACTATACCAGTGAGCCAGCATTGTTGTTCATTTATATATATCTGCATGCATGTGTGTATATATATATATATTTTTTTTTTTAAAGATATGTGGGGGACAGATGCCAGCACACCAACAGACAGGGTCTAAGGACCCATGCCCAAGTGTGCTCAGGCCCTAGGTAAGTGGGACTCAGGCTCATACAACATACTACCAGAGGACCTGGGCTTGGGGATATGCACGCTTGTGGACAGGAGGGGCTGTGAATTGTTCAGGGAAGGGATTCTGGGAATATGTAGGAGGGAAGACTGCAGAGGGACAACATGACAGGTGAGAAGTGACTACTCCACCCTGGCTACTCCATTTGCAGGTAAATGAGGGGGCTCTTACTGGGCGGTTTAGAATAGGGAAACCAGAGGACCGTTTGAGGCCAAGCCATCACATGTGCTGATGTAGGAGATCTGAGCTGGGCTTAATGGTGTCAATCACCATCTGCCAGCACACATGAAAGCCACGGCTGGGGTCCTGCCTGGCAGGGCTTGACCACAGTACCTGCCAGTGAGCATTAGGGCAGGATGTGAACCACGTCAGGCTGGGCCATGACACTACCCAGCGTGTGAAAGAACTGGGTCTGGGAGCCGACTCTGTGGCAGATTTGTGGGGTTACCCTTGTGGGACAGGCATATCAACTGGTTTGCTCAACAGCTGGGAGTAGTGATGGGCTGACTTAGGCATGACCATGGAACTTACCAACACTCAGAGGTATTGGGATTGGGAAGAGGCTAGGCTGGTCCAGGCTGTGGTATCCACAGGAGCACCCAAGAAATGGGCGTGAGGTGGACCTGGCCACGACACCCAGCAGCACACAAAGCCCGTCACCAGGGAACAGACTATGCCACACAAGGGCCTACCACCTGCTGGCATGCATGAGATCTGGGTCTGAAGTGGCCTGGTGGGGGAACTTGGAGAAGTCCCCTGGTGGACCATTGCTCCTGCTGGTAAGCATCTGAGTTGTCTGGGTGTTGGTCAGGCTGGACAGGGCAGCTTCACTTATTGGCAGGTGCATGGGTTAGCTCGGGACAGTGGTGGGGGCGGGCGGGGGGCAGAACAGGCAGAGCTAATCCAAACCACAGTACACTCGTATATGCAGGAGCCAGAATGAGGTGCAGACCAGGCTGGGCTAGGCTAGGCTATCATACCTTCTGGTTTGCACCAAAGCCAGTAATGGGGGCAGGCTAGGCACAGCCAGCCTTCAACAACCACTAGAGAAACGTGGAACTGGGGGCAGATCAGGCCAGGCCAGGCTGCAGCATCCAATGGCAGAGGCCAAATTGGGTGATGGCTTATGCCAGGCTGGGTCTGAGTAACCATCAGCACACACAAGATCTGTGGCTAGGAGCAAGCCTGATTGGGGAACTAAGAAGATACCCCTGCTGGGCTGTAATTCCCATTAGAGAGCAAGAAGTGGAATGGGAAACAAACTGGGCTGGGCATGGCTATAGCATCCCTCGACGTGGCTGTAGAGTGGTTCTGGGGTATACCAGACAGGGCTAACTTCCAGTACCCACTGGTGGTCACAGGAGCCAGGGTGGATGTATGATGGGCTGGGTCTTGGCACCTGCTGAACCATGCAAGAGCTGGGTCTGGAGGCGTCCCAGGTGTGGCTAGGCTGTAGCACCAAACAGTAAGAGCTGGAATCGGTGTAAGCTGGTCAGGCAAGGCCTCTGTACCTGTCAGGACAGAAGTCAGGCTAGGCCAAGAATGAGATCTACTGGGAGATCTTCCACTAGAAGGTAACCTGATAAAGGGGCTTGGGGAACTCCTCTGTCAGGACATAGTCTTTAGGTGAACAAAAGAACAAGGCTGGGAGCAGCCTACACCAGACCAGGTTCCAGTACCTATCAGCATAGATGTGGGTCAGGTTTGAGGGCAAGCCAGGCTAGGCCAATTCATAGCACCCACTCACTGGCAGATGGGAGAACCAGGAAGGGGTGCAGGACAAGCCGGGTTGGGGGACAGCGTCAGTCAGTTCACATTAGCACCAGGACTGGAGGCTGTGCGGGCTGGGCTAAGATGCAACACCCACCAGCATGAGTTGGACTTTGGGTGGACCAGACTGAGCCAGGCTGCACACCCAGTGGTGAATACTGAGGTGAGGCGAGACATGGCAGATTAGGCTACATACAGCATGCATTAGCTTATGTAATACCTGGTGATGGAGGCAAGTCTGGTAGGGAGGGCTGCAAGGACTCCACTGATGAGCCACTGCTCCCGCTGGTGAGCATGACAACTGTTTGGGGCAGACCAGGCTGGGCAGGGCTACAAAACCCATTGGCCTACATTTGAGCTAGCTTCGGGGTGAGCCAGGCTGAGCTAAGCGACCATATCCACTGCTGTACGTATGAGCGAGAGTAAGTAAGGGCTTGTCAGGCTTGGCCACAGCATCAACTAGCAGGCATTGGGGCTGGGGCACAAGTCCTGTCAGGCTGGACTGCAGAACCACCCATAAAGTACAAGATCAAGGGCTGGGAGTAGGCCTAGCAGGGAAAATGCTGGCACCCCTCTGATGAGCTGCAACTCCACCCAGTGAGAATAATCATGGCTGGGAGCAGGCCTGGTTAGAAAAGTGATGGCACCTGATGTATGAGTGTGGGCTAGATAGCGCAGTTGGTCAGGCTAAGTTAGGGCCCAACACCCATTGATGTGTACAAGAGCCAAAAGAGATATGGCATAGACTGGGCCATTATGCTGCACAAAATGGCATGTGCAGGAACCAAGGCTGGGGATGGGCCTGGTAGGGCTTATAGGGAGCTATCCCAATTAGGCTGCAGTTCCTGCTGGTATACATGAGGGCCAACTGCATAGTGAGCAGGGGGTAGGCTGGGCTGCAGTATCAGTTGGTTTGTGTATGAGATGGGGCTGGGAACAGAACTGATCAAGAGACTGCAACCACCATTGTGTAGGCTGATGTGGATGATGGACTGAAACCTCTGGGAATGGGAACCTCTGGTGAGGTTTCTTTGAGGACCCCCCCAACTGGACCACTCAGAACTCCAACCACGGTAAAAATCACAAGATCAGTGGTCTGACAGTGGAGTACATGTGTCAGAATTGGTCTCCTTGGTTGTTGAAGCCTGTGCAGCAGATGGCATGCCCAGATGCTCATGAGGGACAAGACAACCAGTTTATTGAGGCCTGCATAAGACTTCTATTACCATTTAGGACAGAACAAATTAGACTGCTCCCTTAGCCAAGGTTTGACAGTGAGTATCTGGGCAGGTAGAGACCTTAAGGTGGACTGTATCAGTTAATGGACCTTGGAAGAATTTCCTCAACTTTAGAGCAACGAAATTAACAGTATCTTAGAACTATCAAAACCACTTAAGCAGTACTCTTGGGACATGCTTCACATTGGGGAACTTGGAATGACATCATGTGGCCATTCCCCAGCCCCAGGCACTGATGCGGTTAGGCTGCTGGGAAGGGCATTCTCCCCTACTCTCTCCACTTTCCCCAGGTACAGAAGAAAAAAAAGAGACTGGAAACAGTTGTCTCATCCACTTTCCCCCTTTCCTCAACCCTCCCCATCCTAATCAGTGGTCCACATGGGCATGCATCCTTCTTAACTATGTAAATATCATCAAAAATACATTTATTTTAAGAAAGGAAAAGGTATGTACAAAACGTCAGACACCTAGCAGATTCTCAATGAATGTTACTGTTATTTTAGAAGAAATAACAACATAGCCACTTTTTTTAATCTTCAAAGCCTCACTTTCCCTATGTGTAAAATGGAAAACAGCCACCTGACAGAATTTGTCTGAGGGAATTAAACAACATAATGAATGTAAAGCATTAAGGACAATTTCCAGAATAAAGAAGGGCTACCAACAGGGCTACCAAGCCCCTCTGAAAATTATCAATAAAATATCTTAGGGTACAGAAAGGTGTGTGGTGGTGTGTGGCTCAGGATTCCCTTTAACACCACGCTTCTATTGCTTCCAGTAAAGTGACACTAGTTTGTAACAGTTTCCATAATTACTGGACCATCAAGACATTTTCTAATTAACTTCCAACCAAACAACTTACTGATCCAGTTTTCTCAACTCATAAGTTATTCTGACACAGGATTAGTAAATTTTACCTGTGTAATTTGGCATGTATCATATCAATCTGCTCCTGATATATGACAATTATGAAAACAAATAATAAAGTCTAAAAAAAATTATAAGCATCTATCGCAAGATGGAATTTTTACAAATACTCACGAATAAAAAATGTTGAAACCAGTCAAATTATATGCAGCATCACTAAAAAAATGTAACAGTGCATAGCCAGATGTTGTCACAACTTCAGGAACAGTTTCATTTCCCCTTACTTCAGGAACTATCAAACCACTAAAAGAAAATAATTGAACATCGGATGTATCAATATACATATGACTTCAACCAAGGCACTTCAACTAACTTACTCAAAATGTTATACTCTTGAGCAGAATCGTAAAGTACATACATTAGGATGAACAAGTAAAAAGAGAGTAAGCCTAAAATGAGTCCCTATCCATAACTGTGAGTTGCTACTATCAATAAACTGACATCTACCTTCACGCTACCTACTCCTTCTAATCACCACTTGGCCTGTACTGCCTTCTTTCATCCTACTATCCATCCCGTCATAAAGCTGAACGCTGGCCTTTTACTTACCTCATATATAAAACTTCATTTAGAGCCATTTTGCTATTATAACAAGTGATCTTCTAGCTTTATGATTTCCTACCCATTGCAAATTTTCACAAAGCTAGAAAAATACTCCACACCAGCTAATTATCAGGTTGTAGCTAAAGTTATGCATTTCCAATGCACTAACCAAAACGTATTCAATAATTTTCAAATACAAACTTTTGGTGTTTCCCTTTTTATATACAGAAAATTCTTCCTGGGAGAATCAAGACGGTGGAATAGGATGAGGACACATTTCAACAAAGAATCATTACCCAGGGTGAAGCAGAGAGGAAACATTCCAGAAAAATAGGGGAGGGAGTTTAGGAGGTAAACTCGGAGAACTGCCCTTCTTGCTGGTTTCTTTCATTCAACCAGGAGCAGAGAAAGAGCAGCAGATCCCACACAGACAGTGTGGGAGGAGGATGGATTTCACAGCCCAGACTCCCACCAGAGCTGCCTTGCCTGCCATTTTGTGTAAGAAGGCAAAGGCTATTACACAGGACTGCATACGCATTAGGCTAGGAGTGAACTCATTTCTGGCTCAGTGCATTGCCCTGATGTGGCATCCTACAGGTTCTACCCAAAATAGGTCCAAGTAACCCCAAGATGGAATGGTCAGCAGATCCAGAAATCCACCAGTGGCATATCCGGCACCATTTTGTACAGTGTGGCAAAGGCTGAAAGACTAGAAGGACAACAGTAGGCTGAGCATGCCCTGAGCTGGGAAAGAACTCACTTCCAGCTGGTCCCACAGGGAAAACAATACCAACTTTGGCATCCTACAGGTCAATATAGGTCCGGGTAGCCCTCACACATAACAGCCAGCAGGTACTGGCAAGATCAGCACTACCAACAACCTAGATATTTAGAACACCTCCCAAATCCTGGTAACTGCTTGATCCAAAGTGGGAGAAAAGTTGTACAGAAATTAGTGCAGCCACAGCACAGAATTACAAGAGGTAGAGACTGGTGGCCAGGAGCTGGAGCTATGGAGACCATGGTGGAAGCCAAATACAAGAGCCCATTCCTGAAACCCGCTGGAGGGAGTGGCACAAGTGACTGCAAGCAAAGAATCTTGTACCAACCACAATAAAAAAAAAAATCAAACTGTAGACCTGTAGGTGACACAGCTTAGAAACCTGCCCCAAGGAGAAGAATCTGCTAACCAGAAGTACAATGACCAAGAGCAAAATAAAAGACAGAGGCACAATAAAGACTCCCCTCAAAGGAACAAAAGCTTCTGCCAACCTCAGAGTTAACTGAGGAAATGGGAGATACAGAATTCAGAAAATTCATTGTAAAGCTTCTTATCAACAATGAGAAGCACATAAAGCAAGAATTCAAGGAATTTAAGGAATATGTCACACAGGAAAGAGCAACACTGAAACAAAAATTCAGTAGGAAGTCTCAATAACAGAATGAAAGAAGAAGAAAGAATCTCAGAATTAGAAGACATTTCTTGCCACACTGACGAAATAATCAAAAAGCTGGAAGCAGAGCTGGGTCAAGCTAAAAAAAGTATTCAAGAATTAAGAAACTCTATTAAAAGGCCAAATATAAGAGTTATGGGAGTTCCAGAAGGCACAAAAAGAGAAGTTAGGTTTAAAAATGTATTCAATGAAATAACAAATGAAAACTTCGCTAATATGGAGAAAGAATTGGGAAGCAACATCTTGGAGGGGAACAGAACTCCCAAAGGGTTGACCAAACACAATCTTTACCACAACACAAGATAATTAAGCTCTCTTCAATAGAACATAAGAAAAAGATTCTTAAATGTGCACATGAAAAAAATCAATTGACATGTTGAGGAATTGCAATCAGATTCACAGCTGGCCTCTCACAGGAAACTTTACAGGCCAGAAAAAAATGGGGCAACATATTCCAGATCCTAAAAGAAAAAAATTGTCGGCCCAGGATAGCGTACCCAGCAAAACTTTCTTTTGTCTTTGAAAAGGAAATAAAATTCTTGAACAGTAAAAAGAATTTGCCTCTTTCAAACCTACCTTACAAATGGTTCTTAAAAGATGTTCTGTTGAAAGAGAATAGGAATAGCACCCACCAAAACCAAGGGCAAATGTGAAGAACATCCCAGTAAAATAACAAAAGACTAAATCAATGAACAACCCATTGTTAAAATGACAGGAACAAATTACAACTATTCAGATTAACCCTGAATATAAATGGCTTAAACACATCAATTAAATGTCATAGATAAGTGAACTGGATCAAAAACCAAAACCCATCTATCTGTTGCCTACAGGAGATACATCTAACCAACAAAGATCTAAGGAAATTATATCTCATGGATTTTGATGTTTTTGTTTCTATTTTAATTCTTTAAAACGGTTTTTCTCATATGATAGTCTTCACTGAGGCATAGATCATATAGTTGCATTATTTTCTTCTTCAAGAAGGTTCTTGGTTTTCTTTTTCATTTCTTCAGTTACACATTAGCCATTCAGTAGCATGTTATTTAACTCCATGGTGCTGTAAATTTATATTTTTTCTTCCTGTTATTGATTTTGTTTTGTGGCTTTTCACTTAAGGAGATGTATAGTAACTGTGTAATGGAGACTATCATATCCAGATGTGAGGATACAATGCAGTATGCATATCTACTTCCAAATGAAAGATAACTCTCAGTGAAACTTTTTACTATATCTTGACAATAGGATGCTGGGCTTTGTGCCATTGTCCATGCCCTCAATGATGGATTTATGACTGTTTATAAATATCTATACTATTATAATAAAGGGGAATCAGTTGGGGAGGAGCAGATTTGGGGAGGAAGTAAGGGAAATACCAGAGCCTATGGAACTGTATCATAAAATAATGATGATGATGATACCAATAATAAAATAAAAAAGAATATTGTTCCCACATTTTTTAAAGGTTTATTCATTTTTATATTTATTTATTCAAACAACAGGACAATAGATAGGGACAGATGATAAACAGCGCCATTTGCTATTCACTGTTTCACTCCTAAAATGCCCACAAGAGCCAGGGCTTGGCAAGTGGAAACTAAGCGCAGGAACTCTATCTTGGACTTCCACAAGGGTTCCTTAGACCCAATACTCAAAGCTTTCACCTGCAGCCTCCCAGGATGAGCACTAGCAGGAAGCTGGAATGGAAGCAGAGTGGGGAATCAAACCCAAACATTTCAATACAATGTAAGCAGCCAAAGCAACATTTTAACCACCAGGCAAAATGCCCACCCCTTATTTTTGCTTCTTAGAATTTTTTCATATCTGTGTAAAATACAAGTATATGCTGTCATTTCAAAATAGAACACTGCCGGCCCGGTGTTGTAGCCTAGCAACTAAGGTCCTTGCCTCTCAAGCCCTGGGATCCCATACGAGTGCCAGTTCTAATCCTGGTGGCCCCACTTTCCATCCAGCTCCCTGCCTGTGGTCTGGGAAAGCAGTCAAGGATAGTCCAACATCTTGGGGCCCTGCACCCGCATGGGAGACCTGGAAGAGGCTCTGGGCTCCTGCCTTCAGACTGGCTCTGCTCCAGCCACTGCAGCCCCTTGCAGAGTAAGTCAGCGGACAGAAGATCTTTCTCTCTGTCTCTCCTCCTCTCTGTATATCAGACTTTCCAATAAAAATAAATCAAAACAGAACACTGCTCACTTAAACTCAAATGTACATGAAAAAAAAAAGCCTAATTACACGGGAGAACATATAAATGGACCAAGACAAAAATTCTAAGTTAGGAACTGTACTTGTATCTTCTTTTAGTTATACCACAATGCCCTCTCTAATTCTATGAAAACATGCACTAGTAGAAAAGAAGCTGCTAATAGAAATTATACAACTCGAAATAATCAAGTCTTATACACAAAGTCAATTTAATCTTTAGGCATCACTAGGCACTTAATTCCTTCATTCAAGTTATACTTGACACAAAATGAAATCTCAAATAATCTATTTTGCAAACACATACTCAAATGCAAACACATACTCAAATGCAAACAAGTTAGAAAATAATCAACTCTTGATTTACTGCTTTAGTAATTATCACATCTTGGCTATGTTTGTAACAAAACAAAAGAATTTAGACAGTCAACAGAATCCAAATTCTAAAATACCAATTTTAGTTACACATGCATAGTTTCCAATGTAATGAGATTACATCAAAATAAGTACTATGATAAGAATATTATGCACAAACCCTTACAACAAATACAACTAACCTGTCTGTAAAAAAAAAAAAAATTGAAATCTGTGGGTAAACTGACAAATTCTTTTTAAAATTTCCTTTAAGCTACCAGAAGAATTAATACACTGGAGTAAGACAACAGGCTCTATATACACTTGCTGATTCCAAAGCTGGGGGTGAGGGGTAAGTACAGGGCTAAGACATTCATGCCCCATATCAGAGTGCCTGGATTGGAGTCCTGGCTCCACCTGGATCAGAGCTCCGGCTGACATGCACCATGAGAGACGAGAGATAGAGATGGTTCCACATACTGGACCCCAGCACCTATAGGAAAGCCCTGGACTGAGTTTCTCCCAGCTTCAGACCAGTACAGCCCAGTTACTCTTGGCATCTAGGGAGTCAATCAGCAGAGGAGAGCTCTATTCAGGATATGCACATGCAGGCTTTTAGCCTGCCCGTCTCTTTCTCTTTCAGATAAAGAGATCTGAAATAGAAGGTGAGACTGAAGGGCGATGGGAAGGCAACATGGCCCAGAGGACTAAGATGTCATTTAGGGTGTCCCCATCTCTTATCGGAACACTGCTCAGTTACTTAATTTCCTATTTGTCTTCCTGCTGATGCATCCCAGGAGGCAGTAGATGATGGAGCAAGAACTTCCAATGTAGAAGAACACTCTGGTGCAGTTCTGGGATAGAGACTCTCTCTCTCTCCCTCTCTGTCCCTCTCTCTCGCTCTCTCTCCCTCTCTCTGGAATTGGTCCAGATAAGTTCTGGTCATCACAGCACTTGGTGAGTGGACCACCAGGTATAAACACACACACACACACACACACACACACTCTCTCTCTCTCTCTCTCTCTCTCTCTCTCTCTCTCTCTCTCTCTCTCATTTCTCCCTTTATTTTTGTAGCTCTTTCAAGTAGTCAAATAAATCTTTTTTAATTCAAAAATATAAAAAAGAAAGCAGGTGTTAATTCCAAGGGTTTTACAGAGTCAGGGAAGCACAAAGAGAAATCTAGCATTCTTTGAGCTGAGACCCCATGACTAAATTTAAAAAAAGGAGGAAACTATCAAGAGTCAAACCTTTAAAGGATTACCATGAAGTTCAGGTATGAGCCACCACAACACCTGAATTTGGTTTAAGTTGACTATGGCTGACTAGTGTCTTCAGGTATTGTTTAAAGGAATACAGACTCTGAATCTCAAATTATTCATACCTGTGAGTTCCCCAACACAATGTCCAGTCCACAGCTGTCTAACACACACAAGAAGTAACAATTCTCTATTCCAATCCATTCTCCACATTCCAATTAATATTATCTACACACCAAAGTCAATTTCTTTAGCACAGTGAGCAAGGATAAAATATTACATTGACTGAAGGATCAAGCCCTGGAATTAAATAAGCTGATCTCTCATTTTGATTATATAATTTGCCAAGTGGACAATTCTGGGCCACTTACAGAACTTCCTTGTGCTTCAACCTCCATTTATGAAATGGCAAGGATTCCTAAGGATTCCTTACCCAAGGATTCCTGCAAAAATCAAGTTAATTAATACACATAAATAACTCTAGAACACTGCCTGGAACAAAAATGAATAATCCATAGATACTGCCAATTACTCTTTATTATGTAATCTAACCTTGTGCATTCCTGAACACTCCCTAAAATCAAGTTACTCACTGTTCTGAAATACGTTCTTTAATGAGTCTATACCACTAAACACACTTTACCTAGAATGTTCTATCTGATCCCACACTTTTCCAATCATTCTTTTTGTTGTTGTTGTTGTTGCTTCTCCTTCTATTTTATTTTTAATTTTATAATACAATTCCATAGCCTTTGGGATTTCCCTTAACTCCTCCCAAAATCCTCACCATCCCAACTGATTTCCCACATATTATTACAATAATATAGTCCTTCATGAGCAATCCTAAGTCCATCATTCTAACATTTAAGTGTATCCTGACACCACAGATGCAGACAATGGCAGACAGTCCAGCATCCTATTGTCAAGATACATTCAACATTTTCACTGAGAGTTCATCTTTCATTTGGAAGTAGATATGCATACGGCATTGTATCATCACATCTAGATATGATAGTCTCTATTACACAGTCACTATATATTCCCTTAAATGAAAAGTCATAAAATAACATTAACAGGAATAAAGTTTTTAAATGTATAACACCATGGAGTTAAATAACATGCTACTGAATAACCAATGTGTCAATGAAGAAATGAAAAGGAAAACAGAAAACCTGCTTGGAGAAAATAATGCAACTGTGTGATCTATGAGTCAGTGAAGAATTTAATAAGAAAAAAACTATTTTGAAGAAATGAAAATAAAAACAAAAATATCCAAACCCATGAGTTGCAGCAAAAAGGCTATGGATCTTATAATTTGCATGAAGGTTGCTCAGATCATTCTACTAGATTATGTACATTTTGGATTAGTTACTTCTGAAGTCATGCAGTCTTTAATAATTTGATAGCAACACTTACTATGTGTGAAAAGTCTGTTTACATGCCCTCACTAGTGCATTACTACTGAAAATTTTGGTTGGCTTTTGTTCCAAGTTCTTAGAATACAACCTCTAAATCCTTTTCATTTCTTCTACAGCAGGAGTGTCTGTTATTCACAATGAACCCTGTCAGTTTATGCCAACAAGCGTGACTCATGGTGGAATCCCAGGTTATTTCTGCTAAAGATATGATTCATGATCGGGATATCCACATAGAGAGATCAATGATGACATTAAAGTGTATCAGTCTGACGTTGGGAGACATGGTGGGATCTAGAGATCTCAAAATTGATGCTAATGATGCAACCATACATATACACATATTGAAAACCCAATAAAAACTCTAGATACATGAAGCTCGGGTAAGCCTCCTTGGGGATACATCCTAAATCAACCAGTACAGAGGGTAACACCAGAAAACAAAGCTTTGTACTGGTGTTCCTACAATATCACATTTCGTGACTAACTGGGTAGCTCTAATTTTTATCCTTTATAATAAAACTATAGTCCTCAGAATAGCCCTTTTTTGAGTTTAGTTAGCCATTTTAGCAAAGTTGACTCTAGGGAGTGAATCAATGGATGAAAGATCTCTCTCTGCAATGCTTTCACATAAGTAAATAATCTTTTTAAAAAGATAAACCAAAAATTACATATAGTTGCTTTTCTATAGCTACAAATACTTTTCTATAGCTATGAATACAAATAACTACTCACCTGAGTACCGCTATTAAAGGTGCATATATTGAATCTCCATCATAAACATACATATGATCCCAGCTACATTCTGTAGCAAAATGATTGAATCTTAATCTTAACACTGCATTTGGACTATAAAAAATTTAAAAATTTTAAATTAATATATAAAATACAAAAGAATCAGAAAAGTCAAAATATAATATTTTATCAAAAATATATTTACACATAATTCATTATATATCCTAAATCAATAGAACAAAAGGTTGATAAGATATCATATCCAATTCTTTAAAATAAGAAATAACTCTCAAAATCTTTAAATAGGCTACGGGCTTTTATCACCATTTTCTAAGGATTTTGTCAACAAGAAATATTTCCTGTCTTGCTTGAGGGAGAAGTACAAAGATGTATATACTACTGAAAGCATATTTATGCCATACTCTTAAAATGACCATATTTTCACTGAATTCAAATTGGACTTTAATAAAATTGAATTCAGAAATTCACTAACCAAGAAATTAATCTAATTTCTGCAAACCTTTCAACAAGACAAGTAATAACTTTTTAAATCTGTCCTCAAAGATCTAAATAGTTTCAAAAAATAAACAAATTGAAACCATGTATATCATAGAAATGACAGCTTCTAAGTCTTAAAAAAAAATTAAGTAACAAAACACGATTTTCTAAATATATTTTAAAAGTCATTAAAGGCTTCTAAGAGTCTGAATCAATTCACATCTATTCACAATACAGTAAAACATAGCCCTAACCACTAAAAACACTCTGAAATGGTTGAGTAACTCTTTCTGATAAAACATACTTTTAAAAACATTGGTGGGGGAAGAGCAGTGTGGTAGCCTAGTGGCTAAATCCTTGCCTTGCATCCGCTAGGATCCCAGATGGGCACCAGTTCATGTCCTGGTTGCTTCATTTGCCATCCAGCTTCCTACTTGGGGCCTGGAAAGCAGCAGAGAATGGCCTAATGCCCTAGCACTCTACACCCATGTGGGAGACCCAGAAGAAGCTCCTGGATGCTGGTTCAGATCGGCTCAGCTCTGACTACTGCAGCAGCCACTTGGACAGTGAGCCAGCCGACAGATCTTTCTCTCTGTATCTCCTTCTCCCTCTAAATCTGCCTTTGCAATAAAAATAAATTAATTTTTTAAAAAAGTTCTGGGGCCAGCACTGTGACAGAATTGAGCCTCCACCTTGCAGTACCTCCTATATGGAAACAGGTTCAAATCCTGGCTGCTCCGTTTCCAATCCAGCTGTCTGCTGACATGCCTAGGAAGGCAGAGGAAATGGCACCACTCATGGGCCAATGCACTAGGAGACCTGCAAGAAGCTCCTGGCTGCTGGGTTAGCCAAGCCCAGCCAGTCACTGCGGCCACTGGGTAGTTCAAAGACAGAGGGAAGATTTTCTCTTTCTACTCTCTCAATCTGTAACTCTGCCTTTAAAGTAAATAAACCATTTAAAAATATTCTTACCATTCAGTATGGAATACTTTTATACTTCATATGAAAAATCCAAATTCTAAAAATAAAACTTTTAAGACAAGCTAAACATTCCCTATTTAACATCACAGTAATATAAATCAAACATGGCATACATATATATATGGTATATTATGACAAGTGAAAGTGTGCAGTAATTTTTGTATTAAACACGATGCCTCCAAGATGTAAATTCCATTAAAAAAAGTTTTTAATGATGGATAATTAAATAAATCACACTATAAAATCATTATACTTAATGCTTGAGCATTACTATGATCACTTTTAACATCTCAGAATAAAATAAATTAACCCCAAAATGTATACTTACTAGCCTTCAATTAGCCATGTACATTTAGTTTTATACTTATAGTTAATTGGACCGTCTGTTAAATATCCAGAAGGTTCTGTTAACCTAAAAGATAAAACAAAATTATGAAAATAATTACCTTAAAGCTAACTTTAAGACATATAGCAGCATTAGACAATGCAAAAATCATTCATCCAAAGGGATGGGACATAGCAAGTTGCAAACCGGTGGGTAAATACACAACTTAGAAGAACACTCAAACTGCTATATTTCTCTCTGCATCTCAAAAGAAATTTAGTTTTAGTCTTTTTAAGCCATGATACATGACGATCACTTTAATCTATATAATGGAAAATCCCAGAAACACTGACCATCATTCTAATGCTTCAATGTTGATGTAAAATAGATTGTTAAATTGTACCTGCACAAACATTCAATTGAGGCAAAAGAAAATGCAGATCAACTGTACTTTGAAAAATGCAGATTTACAACAAAGAGAAACAGCAAACGGACATCTCATTTGGGAGCTCACATGGTTAGCCCTGTCGGCCTCACGGGCACCAGGCCTCCTAAGGCAGCTGTCTCCAGATCTTAGTATTGCTACCTATTTTTATGATGATCATTTTTCTTATCTACTTTACATTTAGCACAAGTGCTCAATTTTTAAATAGGATAAATCAAAAAGTATTATATCTTCTACTTCACACACAAAAGAAAAAGATAATTGGGAAATCCTCAGATTTTTAGAATATAACAATCTTTAAAATTAAAGATTTCAAATTTCAAATTGATTTCCTTTTGTTCTTACCTTGAGGCAAAAAAATATAATTAAAATATCTTCTCACTTAGCATTTATTTTATTACGTATGTATGCATGCACAAACACCTCACAGATAATGGGTCTTTATGAAAATGCACACATACACACACTGATGCTAGGGTCACCACCTACTTTTGGTAAAACTAATTTCCCCTTACACAGACTTAAAACGTCAGGGGGAAATTTTCATTTTCCTATATATCAGAGTTGACAGAAAGGTCAGCAAATAGTAATATCACTTGTACATCTGTCATAATCCCTATTAAGTACTCAGGGTTAATTACAAAAAGGCTAATTCATGCTTGGAAAAATTTCTGAAGAACAGACAAACTCCTATGTTCAAATAAATCCTAATGATAAAATAAGCCATTCAAAGTGTCCCGCCCTACCATGAGCACGTGTTCTCTTTTAAAAGTTGCAAAAAGCCCGCGAGACAGTGACCCATGAGTCATCTCACATCGCCGACAGCAGAAATAAGTGCAACTACACTAAACCGCCGTGATTCTTCACTTCCAATAACACTGCATGAGGTCATTCTCTCCACTGGCAGACTGAAGAACAATTTTTAAATTTTGAGTACATCTTATAAATAATGATAAAGGTGAAGATCCAGAAATTAGCAAGACATTCAGAGCTGCCTTTGTTCTAGACAAACCTGCCTATTTAGAATGCTCTGCATAGAGGCTTGGAGCATGTTGGCAGCCTGAAGAGAGGAGGGAAGAAAATCACAGATAATGACCCCAAAAGGCAGGGACTGAAACGGCATGGCAATCTGACTTGGGGACACAACATCTTTATTAAGGTAAGGATGTACAGAAATAGACGAGCCCTTACCTAGACTGTAGCCTAATCATCTAGCTAGCGGAAAACTCCAAGCCGTAAAATCCACCAGGACTGCTCATTTGCCAAGGCTCCTAACAGAAGATCCAGACTCTAAAGATAACACCAAAACAGCCCTCAAACTCTTTCTACTAACACTTTTTCAAACAAAACCTCGAGCACAATCGTTGATAATGATGCATGAGAAAATACAATGAGACACTATACTAAGAGTGTCAAAATCAAAGATAACCTAATATTTGTATCAGATACACTCTATCTAAAAAAATGCTTAAGTTCAGAAAGACCTAAATGTTAGCAGATAACTGAAACACTTAAATATGATAATGTATTTGAAAGAAATGAGAGAAGTTATAGTATTAAAAACAGTAATCAAAATTGAGGATTCAGTGAACAAGGTTAACAAATTAAACATAGTTGAAAACAGGATGACAGACCTAGAAGACAGGTCCACAGAGAATACCAAACTACAACAGGATAATTAAATAATCCATTTTCCATGTTGGGGTCAAGATACTCAATCAGATAAGATTCCAGCAAGCTAAGAGTATAGCTTTAGGGCAGGGGAAATAGGAAAATCAAGGCTAGGAAGAACTTAGCAAGTCAAATAAAATTTACAGTTAAAAGCTTCAACTATGGACTAAATCAAGCAGAAAAACATATGAACTTGAAGAGAGTTCTTTAGAAACACTTCAGTCATATAAACACAAATGAAAAAAGCACACATAAAAAAGGTAAAGCAGTCTCCAATACATTCGTGATATCATTAAACAAAATTTCAAATTGTGTAAAATAATAAAGGTAATGTAGAGGTTTAAGAAAGTTATTCAACAACAAAAGCAGCTATGCTTGTATCAGAAAAGACAGACTTTAGGACAAAAATCATAAAAGAAGCAAACAAGGTCACAACACAATTACCAAGGCATCAGGTCTACAAATACAGTCCATCTAACAGCTTGAGAATGGACATTGTGCCTTCAGCGCTTGGAACACATGCCTGGGGCAGACCACATATTAGGCCTCTAAACATGTCAAAAATTCAGAGAAATCAAAATCATGTCTATGTATTATTTTCTAACCATAATGGAAAAAAAATCAGCAAAAGAGATTTTAAAAACTATACATACACTGAAAACCACACTCCTGAATGAACAATGGTTCACTGAAAAAGAGATCAAGAGATCAAGGTAAAAATTCCTTAAAACTGGGACCACAACACACCGATATTTATGAGATACAGAAAAACAGTAGTTAGAGGGACGTTTACAGCAATTAGTGCCTACCATAACCAACACAAAGAAATAACCCAACAATGCAGTTCAAGGGCCCGGCAAAAAGAGAACACACCAAAATCCTAAGTTAACACAAGGAAATAATAAAGACAAGAGATTAATTAAATAAAAAACTAAAAAGAAAAAATACAAAAGAAACAAAGATCAATGAAATAAAGAGCTGGGTTTTTTCTTTTATAAAATCAAAAATCCTTTAAACTGGGAAAAAATAAATATATAAAATCAGAGCCACAGGAAAAATTAAAAATAACTAGTAATGCTAAATATTGGAAAGGATGTGGAGAAAAAGAATTTTCACAGGAATAAATCATTACAGCTACTTTAGGAAACGGTATGACTGTAATTGGAAAGAGATCTTGCTCTAGTAGCGTGGGGTTTGGTGCTACCCTCTCACCTTTAGCGACCCTTACATACACTCCAGTCTGACTTCCTAAGTTTACCACCTGCATCTTTATTGAAAAGTTCCACTCTGGCTAGTGCAACCCACTTTGCATGTGACTGTGGTGGCCTAAAAACTGCATATGAATCATCCTTCCAGCTCTTAATCAATCAATCTGTGTTAAGGAATATAGGTTCCCTCAGTTCCTTCCTCCTTGTTGCCCTCTCTTATCTACACTGGTCCTGTTCGGGTTATCTGCATCGCACATACACACTAGCACAAGCCCCAGTGCTTGTCTCTGGATCTGCTACACTGTGATGAAGGGAAGTGTGACCAACTGACAGTTCTAGGCAGCCTATCTTCAGGATCTGCTCTGAGACTTGATCATTTGCCAGCCAGGTGGCAACAGGAACATGCTGCGGGTGGTAGACACTGTGGGCATAGCCTGAGAGCCTTACTGTCACATCACAATTTCTAAGATTTTTCACTTTTCAGTGAACTGAAATAGGATATGAGTAGAAAATGAAGCACTCACTAATAGGCTTATACAACATCCCTCTTAATATTTAACAAATACAGTAGCACCAATAATCATAAAGAATACAGATTCAGTTGAATGCTGTGAAAGCCACTGATGTGCTCAAGGAAGAAAATTATGGACTCAATTTAAGTGATTTTAGGGGCATTGTGAACGCCATATGTTTCTCTAACGTTTAGAAACTGATCTAGTGCAGCTGCAGGGCAAATCAGGTTCAAATGCCAACAACCAGTCACAGGAGAAGCAGAATAGCAGAAGAAGAACTCAGTCCTTCTGGTAAAGTGCCAGCGCTAAAGGCAGTGCACCAGAAACAATGTGGAACCCTTACCACCCAGAAGGACACCAGACTTCTTGAATCCCCTTGGTCTGCAAATGTCTTTCAAAACCAGGGTGGACAATAAAAACTAAGCTCAAACCCTCTTTAGGATCCTGTTAGTCATAGCAACAACTAACAGCAGAATTGAATTAGATCAATTTACTCAATCTGCAATGGTGGTTACAATAATCATGCGTCCAAATCCATGCAATCAGCAGCAGCTCCGTGTAGTGACCACACAAAATGTTTGGAAATTAAACAATATCTTCTAAGTCACAAAGATCGTTAGAAAATATTTAATTAAGTAATACTAACACACAACAAATCAAAATTTATTAGACAAAGCCAAACCAATATTTTGACAAGTTTAGAGCTTTAAACGTAAGCATGAGGGACTGGGATTGTGGCACAGAGAACTAAACTCCATCCGTGATGCCCAGCATCCCATACAGGGGCCAACTTAAGTCCTGGATGCTCCACTTCCAACCCAGCCATTTCTTACACGCCTGGGAAGGCAGCAGATAATGTCCCTGGGTCCCAACCATGTCTGTAGGAACCTGCAATGGAGTTGTTCCAGCCCAGTTCAGCCCAGTCCAGCCCAATCCAGACCAGTCCTAGCCATTGTGGCCACTTGGGGTGTCAATAGCAGATGGCAGAGCCTCCTCCCCAACCCTGGTAACTCTGTCCTCCAAATAAATAAAAAGATCTTTATTTTAAAACTGTTAACATGAAAAAATATAAAAATCAATTATCTAGGGTTATAGCTCAAGAAGCTAGAAAAAAAAAAAAGCAAATAACCAAATCGAAAGGAAGTGTAAGGAGGAAAATGCTAAACAGCAATCTCTTACAAAGCAGTCATACACTGAGAAAACCAACACTACCAAAAACTGAATATACAAACAGATTTAATAAGCTCTTAG